CTTTGTCATCCTCCTTTGTACGTTTTCCAGAGCATTTATATCCATTCTGTAATGTTGTGACCAAAACTGTGCAGCATAATCTAAATGAGGCCTAACGAGAGTCGTACAGGATGGCAGGAGAACATTTTCCTTTCTCAATTACTAGGAAAATGTGGTAGCACAGAGATCTTTGACTTGTTGAAAAGCAAAACAGTGATATAGAGGAGAGAGTAATGCTTGAAATGTGACACAGACGTCAAAGAAATGAGTACGTCAGACTTATGTGACGTATTTGATGTTCCTTGTCCTCTGGATAAGTATCTGCACCATAATTTTTTTAAGCGGTGGATTGGTAAGCCAGTGGAAGGCTTCTTTCAGATTACCAAAAACTCCAGCGGCGGATCATCATGTGACTCAGACCCGCATTAGGAAACACTTGTCCTGTTTCCTGACAAACCTTACCTAACCTAAATCCACTAAGTGCCAAATCAACTAGACTATAATGAATATGTCTGCCAACAAACCACCAACAGTAACAGCCAGACTGACCAGGCAAGCACCATACGAGCCTGGCCCAAGGCCGGGCTCCGGAAGTAGACTCATCAAATGTCACTGTTCTATGTTACTGCACTTACATCATTAATCATATTCTTAGATGATTTAAAACTCTTGTGCCTTTCACTGTAATGAAGGTCGTGCCTAGCATGGGCCAGTAGGCCTACTGCAGTCTTCCTCTTATCTTATGTCTATGTGTAGAGAAAGTTACAAAATCGACGATAGGGACTAGAAAGTCGAAGACCTGTCTTTGTGATTCCTCTAGACTTTCGTGTGTAACTATAGTTGGTAGCGCACTCGGTTCACATACTGAGGTCCGTGGTTCGATCCCCGGTATGGGTGGAAACATTGGAACGTGTTTCCTTAAGACACCTGCTGTATATGTTCACCTAGTAGTAAGTAGGTACCTGGTTGTTAGTCGACTGGTGTGGGTGGCATCCTGGGGGAAATTTTTTTCCCAAGTTGTATCATGTGATTGTACAAATAAAGATTATTGTTGTTGTGACGTCTTAAACAACGTTTACAATAATTGTTAACTTTTCCTCTTTCGTGACGTGAAAACGTAGAGAAGTTAAATGTGGTTTGTAAAGTTGGGTTAATTTAGAATAAGAATGAATTAAGAGTTACAATACTGTGATTGGAACGAAATCACAAGACAACACTATACAATATACGTCACAACACTACACAATATACGTCACAACACTATACAATATACGTCACAACACTACACAATATACGTCACAACACTATACAATATACGTCACAACACTATACAATATACGTCACAACACTATAAAAATATACGTCACAACACTATACAATATACGTCACAACACTATACAATATACGTCACAACACTATACAATATACGTCACAACACTATACAATATACGTCACAACACTATACAATATACGTCACAACACTATACAATATACGTCACACTACACAATATACATCACAACACTATACAATATACGTCACAACACTATACAATATACATCATAACACTATACAATATACGTCACAACACTACACAATATACATCATAACACTACACAATATACGTCACAACACTACACAATATACATCACAACACTATACAATATACGTCACAACACAACACAATATACATCACAACACTACACTACACAATATACATCACAACACTACACAATATACATCACAACACTACACAATATACATCATAACACTATACAATATACATCACAACACTACACTACACAATATACATCACAACACTACACAATATACATCATAACACTATACAATATACATCACAACACTAACACTACACAATATACATCACAACACTACACAATATACATCACAACACTACACTACACAATAATACATCACAACATTACACTAACACAATATACATCACAACACTACACAATATACAATCACAACACTACACAATATACATCACAACACTACACAATATACATCACAACACTACACTACACAATATACATCACAACACTACACAATATACATCACAACACTACACTACACAATATACATCACAACACTACACAATATACATCATAACACTATACAATATACATCACAACACTACACTACACAATATACACACAACACTACACAATAATACATCATAACACTACACAATATACATCACAACACTACACAATATACATACACAACACTACACTACACAATATACATCACAACACTACACAATATACATCATAACACTACACAATATACATCACAACACTACACAATATACATCATAAACACTATACAATATACATCACAACACTACACAATATACATCACAACACTACACAATATACATCACAACACTACACAATATACATCACAACACTACACAATATACATCACAACACTACACAATATACATCATAACACATATACAATATACATCACAACACTACACTACACAATATACATCACAACACTACACAATTATACATCACAACACTACACAATATACATCATAACACTATACAATATACATCACAAAAACACACACTACACAATATACATCACAACACTACACAATATACATCACAACACTACACAATATACATCATAACACTACACAATATACATCACAACACTACACAATATACATCACAACACTACACAATATACATCACAACACTACACAATATACATCACAACACTACACAATATACATCACAACACTACACAATATACATCACAACACTACACTACACAATATACATCACAACACTACACAATATACATCACAACACTATACAATATAACGTCACAACACTACACAATATACATCATAACACTATACAATATACATCACAACACTACACTACACAATATACATCACAACACTACACAATATACATCACAACGCTACACAATATACATCACAACACACACAAATATACATCACAACACTATACAATATACATCACAACACTTCACAATATACATCACAACACTACACAATATACATCACAACACAACACTACACAATATACATCACAACACTACACAATATACATCACAACACTACACAATAAAATCACAACACTACACAATATACATCACAACACTACACTACACAATATACATCACAACACTACACAATATACATCACTACACTACACAATATACATCACAACACTACACAACACAATATACATCACAACACTACACAAAATACATCACAACAACTACACAATATACATCACAACACTACACAATATACATCACAAACACTACACTACACAATATACATCACAACACTACACTACACAATATACATCACAACACTACACTACACAATATACATCACAACACTACACTACAAATAAACATCACAACACTACACTACACAATATACATCACAACACTACACTACACAATATACATCACAACACTACACTACACAATATACATCACAACACTACACTACACAATATACATCACAACACTACACTACACAATATACATCACAACACTACACTACACAATATACATCACAACACTACACAATATACATCACAACACTACACAATATACATCACAACACTACACAATATACATCACAACACTACACTACACAATATACATCACAACACTACACTACACAATATACATCACAACACTACACTACACAATATACATCACAACACTACACTACACAATATACATCACACACACTACACTACACAATATACATCACAACACACACTACACAATATACATCACAACACTACACTAACACAATATACATCACAACACTACACTACACAAATATACATCACAACACTACACAATATACATCACAATATACATCACAACACTACACTACACCAATATAACATCACAACACTACACTACACAATATACATCATAACACTACACAATATACATCACAACACTACACTACAACAATATACATCACAACACTACACTACACAATATACATCAACAACACTACACTACACAATATACATCACAACACACACTACACAATATACATCACAACACTACACAATATACATAACACACACAATATACATCACAACACTACACAATAAACATCACAACACTACACAATATACATAACACTACACAATATACATCACAAACACTACACAATATACATCACAACACTACACTAACACAATATACATCACAACACTACACTACACAATATACATCACAACACTACACAACACAATATACATCACAACACTACACTACACAATATACATCACAACACTACACTACACAATATACCACACAACACTACACTACACAATATACATCACAACACTACACTACACAATATACACACAACACTACACTACACAATATACATCACACACTACACTACACAATATACATCATAACACTACACTACACAATATACATCCACACACACACTACACAATATACATCATAACACTACACAAATACATCATAACACTACACTACACAATAACATCATAACACTACACTACACAATATACATCATAACACTACACTACACAATATACATCATAACACTACACTACACAATATACATCATAACACTACACTACACAATATACATCATAACACTACACAATATACATCATAACACTACACAATATACATCACAACACTACACTACACCCCATCATAGGTTTTTCTCCAGTGTGCGGGATATTTAAAGGAGGGGTGGAGATATGTTGCAGTTTCTTGACCTGTAGCGTTGGCACGCCTCTGGCGAGACAGTGATGGAGTGAGTGATGATTAAAGTGTTTCTTTTTTTCGGGTCACTCTGCCTTGGTGGGAAACGGTTGATGTGTCAAAAAAATATGAATCCCTCTAAAGAATTTAATAAAAATACATTTTTACTTCTGTTTTTTATTGGATAATTTTGCGTTAACAATAAAGAGACGGAAGTAGGTTACTGCAGGATAACACTACTGGATTCAGGCTACAAACTTGTCGATAAAACAGCACGACTGTTGGAACTTGTGTGAGCTACGAGGTGCTTGTAGAGTAACATTGGCTGTCTGCAGCAGAGGGCCTTAGTCGCCTTCTGTCTACAGCAGGTAGGCTTTGCTATCTGCAGCAGGTGACACATCACAGGAATAACATGAAGGCGAAGAAAAATTAGACGTTTTAAGAGCCGTACCGTTTAGCGCCCGGCGCACCTCCCTGAGCTTTTTGCTGACGGGCGAACTCGATCTGGGCGATGGCGTGGGCTGGGAGAGGATGGGGTGTGGGTATGAGGGAAGACTCCACACGATAACCAAGCTCATCGGCCACAAAGGTGAAGACTGCGGGAGTTCCGTCAGGAAAGGTGAACCTGAGGAGGAGCGATAGTGTTAGTTACGAGAGTGTAAGCTACGAAAGTGTAAGCTACGAAAGTGTAAGTTGCTAGATGTTGCTATGAATTGTGGGACTCTTGTGTTAGTGTGTGTTAGTGGTACTGTCAGTGAGTGCTGGTGGTACTGTGTCAGTGAGTGTTGGTGGTACTGTGTCAGTGAGTGTTGATGGTACTGTGTCAGTGAGTGTTGATGGTACTGTGTCAGTGAGTGTTGATGGTACTGTGTCAGTGAGTGTTGATGGTACTATCTCAGTGTTGATAGTGGTGTGCCAGTGAGTGTTGATGGGGCTGTCAGTGAGTGTTGGTGGTACTGTGTCAGTGAGTGTTGATGGTACTGTGTCAGTGAGTGTTGGTGGTACCGTGTCAGTGTTGATGGTACTGTGTCAGTGAGTGTTGATGGTATGTGTCAGTGTTGGTGGTACTGTGTCAGTGAGTGTTAGTGGTACTGTGTCAGTGTTGATGGCACTGTGTCAGTGAGTGTTGATGGTACTGTGTCAGTATTGGTGGTACTGTGTCAGTGTTAGTGGTACTGTGTCAGTGAGTGTTGATGGTACTGTGTCAGTGTTGGTGGTACTGTGTCAGTGTGTGTTAGTGGTACTGTGTCAGTGAGTGTTGATGGTACTGTGTCAGTGAGTGTTGGTGGTACTGTGCCAGTGAGTGTTGGTGGTACTGTGTCAGTGAGTGTTGGTGGTACTGTGTCAGTGAGTGTTGATGGGGCTGTGTCAGTGAGTGTTGGTGGTACTGTGTCAGTGTTGATAGTAGTGTGCCAGTAAGTGTTGATGGTACTGTGTCAGTGAGTGTTGGTGGCACTGTGTCAGTGAGTGTTGATGGTACTGTGTCAGTGAGTGTTGATAGTACTGTGTCAGTGTTGGTGGTACTGTGTCAGTGAGTGTTAGTGGTACTGTGTCAGTGAGTGTTGATGGTACTGTGTCAGTGAGTGTTGATGGTACTGTGTCAGTGTTGGTGGTACTGTGTTAGTGAGTGTTAGTGGTACTGTGTCAGTGAGTGTTGATGGTACTGTGTCAGTGTTGGTAGTACTGTGTCAGTGAGTGTTGGTGGTAATGTGTCAGTGAGTGTTGGTGGTACTGTGTCAGTGAGTGTTGATGGTACTGTGTCAGTGAGTGTTGATGGTACTGTGTCAGTGAGTGTTGGTGGTTTGTAGATGAATGGTTCAGAGAACCGACATCTTGATAAATTAGACACATGTGCAACTCTTGGGTATCTTTATTGAGGAAACGTTTCGCCACACAGTGGCTTCGTCAGTCCATACGTAGGAGAAACTTGAAAAAGGAGGAGAATGAGGTAATCAGTCCCTCAACCTTGAGTCGATGTGTTCAGTCCATCAATCTTGAATAGAATACGGCATATGAGCGGAGAAGCAGCTTATAAACCGTATGGCAGGAGAGGTGCAGCAGTCATAGGTGGTGTCACATTTGTTCAATGTGGAAGTAGGTCGTGCCCAAGAATTAGGCAAGCTAAGAATTCCTAAGTATTAAGATCCCAAGAAGTTGCAGTGTCTGACAGGTTCTTCAAGTTTCTCCTACGTATGGACTGATGAAGCCACTGTGTGGCGAAACGTTTCCTCAATAAAGATATCCAAGAGTTGCACATGTGTCTAATTTATCAACAGTGTTGGTGGTAATGTGCCAGTGAGTGTTGGTGGTACTGTGTCAGTGTTGCTGGTACTGTGTCAGTGAGTGTTGGTGGCACTGTGCCAGTGAGTGTTTGACTCACGAAATCGTAATGACACGATTGCAAACAAACCATACCACGGGTGGAGTTAGAACCCGCGATCAGAAAGTCACAAAACTCTAGACCGTCGCGTTATCCACTGGAACAGCTAGCTACAGTGAATGTCTGTAGTCAGTTCACACGCGGACACAGAATATAAAACATATTACTCCTGAGCAATAATAATTCTCATTCAGTGCGGCTTTTAAGAAGCAACAAGAGAGACGGCAGATGTTACCAGCCACGACTCTCAGTGTACCTTAACACTGCAGTTAACTACAGCGTTTCACTCGTAGGAGGCTGTAAGTTGGAAAAATTCAGATTCAGGAAGGATATAGGAAAGCACTGGTTTGGTAATAGAGTTGTGGATGAGTGGAACAAGCTCCCGAATACAGTTATAGAGGCTAAAACATTGTGTTATTTTAAAGATAGGTTAGATAAATGCATAAGTCGTCAGTGGTCAGTCGTCACGTGAGGTCACAGACCCTGAGCTGCTTTGGGGATTAGTGTGGACGGTTACAAAGCATGGCTTGCTTCTGCAGTGTTTTAAAAATTGAGGTTGGAGAGTTGAAGGAGGAGGTCTTGCTTCTCCAGGAGGAGATTAGGAGGCTGAAGGTCCACCTCAATGGGTCTGGGAGAGAGTGTGAGGTGGCTGGAGTTGTGGGGAATGAGGCTTCAAGTGAGGTGCAGTCTGTCTCTCGCTGTGAGGAGGCTGTAGTTGGGGAGGTAGCAACGGCTACCAGCAGTGAGGTGCAGTCCAGCACCTGCTACAAGTGGGAGTGGTTCACAGTGATGGAAGGCGCATCAGAGTAAGGAAAGTTAAGAGTGAAGATCTGAAGGTAGGAAATCGCTTCTCTGTTCTTCAGGATGAATGTACTTCAGTGGCCAGTGAAGGTAAGGGTACTACTGCCCCTGCTAATGGAGGTAAGCGCATTCTTGTGGTTGGTGACTCTCAGGTAAGATATATTGACCGTGCTTTTTGTAATAGGAATAAGAAAATGAGAGATAGAGTGTGCTTCCCTGGAGCTGGTGTTGGGGACATTGTCAACAGGCTGGATAATATCATGTCAGGTAATGGGAACAAGCCCATTATCTGTCTCAGTGCTGTGGAAATGATATTGGGAAGGGTAGGAGAGAAGAGCTGCTAGATAAGTACAGGTCAGCTATAGATTTCATTAAGTCTAAGGGAGGATCCCAATCATATGTAGCATCTTGCCTAGAAGGGGAGTAGGAAATGAATGGTTGTCTAGGGCAATTGGTGTAAATTGCTGGCTAGACAGATACTGCAAGGAACTTGCAATCCCATTCATTGACAACTGGAACAACTTTTATGGCAAACATGATATGTATGCAAGGGATGGGGTACATCTCTCTGGGGCTGGGGTGGTAGCACTTGCAGACTCGATTGAGAAGGCCATTGGTGAAATGCCTATGATTTTAAACTGATGGAAGATAGAGGTATGGTGACTGTGGGAAACAAGCAGGTTGCAACACTTGGGTTGGAAACAGTAAATGTATAAAAGGCATTCAGCATGAAGTTATAAATAAAGACAATAGATCAGGTCAGCAAACAAAGGGGGACAGCAGAGGGCAGCAAGGGACTAGCTCCCTTAAGGTTTACTATACTAATAGCAGGAGTGTAAGAAATAAGATAGATGAGCTAAGATTAATTGCAAGTGCAGGAAACATAGATATTATTGCTATAACAGAGACCTGCTCAATCTGAAATATAGAGAGATGCCTCTCTGAATGTCACATACAAGGCTATAAATTATTCCACACTGACAGGGTCAACAGGAAAGGTGGTGGAGTAGCGATGTATGTCAGAGACAATTTAAATTGTTGTGTTAGACAAGATATTAAATTAGAAGCGTCAGCCACTGAATCTGTTTGGTTACAGCTTCTCGAGGGCCGAGAAAAACTAATTTTGGGTGTGATTTACAGGCCCCAAATCTTGATTAGGGAGTGCAGTAAACTTCTATGGGACGAAATTCGTAAGGCATCTACACACGAAAATGTTGTGCTAATGGGAGATTTCAACTATAGACAGATTGACTGGAGCAATTTGACAGGAAAATTTAGAGTCAGGTGACTTTCTTGATACGATCCAGGATTGTTTTTTAAAACAGTTTTGTGACAGAGCCAACTAGGGGAAATAACCTCCTTGACTTGGTTCTTGCCAGTAGGGAAACACTAATTAATAATCTTGGGGTTAATGATGAGCTTGGGAAAGTGATCACAAATCACTCATTTTAATATATCATGGAATTCCCCTAATAATCGCAATCAAGTCTCCGTCCCTGACTTTCGCTTGGCTGATTTCATAGGACGAAAAATTACTTAGGTGGGCTGAACTGGAATGACCTGACAAAGGGGTCAGGTAGGTGGTGATGGTTGCCGATATGATGCTTTCCAGAGCATAGTTCTAGCTGCTCAGTCAAATTATGTTCCAAATAGGGAAATCAGATCAAACAAAAATGATCCTAAATGGATGAACAATAGATTAAAATATCTGATTGGTCAAAAGAGAGGCATATATAGGCAAATCAAAAGAGGAGAGGGGCAATCGAGAAATCGATATATTCAGTTAAAGAGAGAAATAAAAAGGGAATTAGAAAGCAAAAAGAGATTATGAGGTTAAAGTTGCAAGAGAATCGAAGACTAACCCAAAAGGATTCTTTCAGGTATATAGAAGTAAGATCAGGGACAAGATAGGCCCACTCAAAAGTTCCTCGGGTCAGCTCACTGACAGTGATAAGGAAATGTGTAGCATTTTTAACACATACTTCCTCTCCAGTTTTTACACAGGAGGATACCACGATATTCCAGTAATGATAAATTATGTAGAACAGGACGATAATAAACTGTGCACTATTAGGGTCACAAGTGACATGGTCCTTAGGCAAATAGATAAATTAAAACCTAACAAATCCCCAGGCCCTGATGAACTGTATGAAAGGGTTCTAAAGGAATGTAAAGAGGAGCTTAGCAAAACCTTTGGCTAATCTTTTCAACATATCACTACAAACTGGCATGTTGCCAGATAAGTGGAAAATGGCAAATGTGATACCTATTTTCAAAACAGGTGACAGGTCCTTAGCTTCGAACTATAGACCAATAAGCCTAACCTCCATAGTGGGAAAATTTATGGAATCAATAATTGCCGAGCAGTTCGTAGCCACCTTGAAAAGCATAAATTAATCAACGAATCTCAGCATGGTTTTACAAAGGGGCGTTCCTGCCTTACG